GGAAAGGAATCAGAAGTTTTGTTTGCTGCTGAAAAGAGGTTGTTTTGAGCATTTCCTTTAAATGGATGGTTCTGCTTCTCCAGGGATTGGTGTTAAGGCCTGCTAGAAGCAGCCCGAGTTCAGCCCCTGATCTCCCCACGGCCAGGACTGTGCATGTCAGTCTGATCTAACCAGACCCCGAGTGCTGGGAGGGGACCCCCTCCCGCCTTCGCAGCAGAGGAAAGGTTTCCCCACCATGACCCTGAGGCCGATCCACTGGCTCTGATGGTTTGTGCCCATCACAAAGCACTAAGAAAAGCTCCTGGGAAGTGGGGAACCTTTGCTTCATTAGCTATAAAAAGGGTACTTCTCAAGCGAAACAAGTTCAGAGCTGAGCTTCAGAGTGCTCTTTGAACAGCGCTGGGCAGGGAGTGCAAAGCTGTAGGGAGAAAACCTGTGGACCTACCAGCGTGAACAGCATCTCCACTCCAATCATTTCAGTGGATAATCTGGAAGGAAATCTAACTGCGGCGGTGGGGAGGGGGACAACGAGGCAGCTCCTTCCCAGGGAGGCGGGGGAGCACCTGGCTGCCAGGCGATGCAGAGATTGCACCAGGCAGCGCTGCGTTACAAGCGATTTTTGCAAGCTCTCCTGGAAAGCCGGGCAGCTTCCCAGCCTGATGGTGGGAATCTTACTGACAGTGCGGGATTACTCTGTCCTTAAAGAACTTGGGGTCTTGCACAGCTGCCAGGTCAAGAAACAGGAGGAGCCGTTTGCATGTTTTGAAACAGAGGACATCAAGTGAAAAACCTGAGTATGGAAAGAGAGGGGATATCACCCCGACTGGCTACAGGCACGCATGGGCAATGTCAGCATCAGTGGGCAGACTGTCAGGTAAGAACATAAAGAGGCTCCTCCTGGGGCAGTCCGTGGGTCCCACTGTGAACCACCCCATGGAGAATGTTCTTTCTCTCTCCTCTTTCTGTAGAGATGTCTAAGTATAAAAGACTCTTAATGTAGAGCTTTTCCTTCAGCCTCCAAAACACAATGACACGTCCCAACCAGCTGTACCCAGCACTGGCAGAAGCCAACACCTTCCCCAGCGCCTCTATCCTGTTATCCCTAACGTGTCCCTTCCCTTTGGGTTCAGTGTTAATATCTGTTCCTCTCGCTCACTAGACAACCAGCAGCTTGAGCAGCAAGGCAAGCCTTGAAGGCAGGCAAAGAAATAGTGCAGGGGGGTAGAGGGCAAAACCAGGCGGTGATGCTCGTGCCAGGTTACGGCTCTGCAGAAAGCAGTGCCTGGCGTTGCCTCCCCCTCCTCCTGCAGCATCTCCTCCTGCTCTTGCACCCTGGAGCAGCGTATCCTCCTCTGCTGGGTGTCATCGTGTGGATGCAGAACCAAGGGTAAAGCCTGAGCCCCTTTTGCTCTTCCCTTTGGTAAGGCTGAAGGTGCTTCTCTGCTCACTGCAGATGAGAGTGAAGGGGCTCGCACCTCCTCCCTCTGACAAGCAAGATGCAGAGAGAAATTTAGGGAAGAGGGTGCTGACCACCAAACCCATTACAATCGCACCAGCCCCTGCGTGCCCACCTCTCTCACGCGGCCCAGCGTGAAGTATCTCAGAAGGAGCAAACACCCTTCTTCTCCCGAGAGCAGCAACGCCTATCTGAGAAAACGCAGGCAGAGTTTTGCTCAAACTCCTCCTGTCAGTCTCCTGCATACCCTACTACCAGAGAAAAGAGTCACCCCACATGAAGAACTCCAGAAAAAGGGATGACAAAACCATACAGAGGCCAGACTGGAATAAAACAAAGATATCTGCTTAAAAATTCAGGGCCTATCTCCACTCTTGCTAAAGATGCTGGGACTTTTCAGAGGCCCCGCAAGGACAGAGGTGAGCTCTCTCTGCCTCTCATGTGTCTCAGCACAAACCCTCTCTAGGATGAGAGTCACTCAAGCATGTTATAAGCACAGACTGTGCTCCCTGCTCCCGGGAATAATTTCTAGTTGAGATAGCTTGTGGTCTGATTCAAAGTCCTCAGGAAATAAGACAACCTTTTACTCATATTGAACTGCAAAGGAGGCGTTTGGGGCAGCTGGAGGGTGAAAGCTTTGGCCTCCATTACTATTATTTTCTGTAATGGCAGGTAGGACAGAGAAATCAATTTTTTTACCGCATATTTGAACTCTGAGGAAACAAAGAGGAAGTGACAACCATCTTTTCAGAGAGACAAGCTGCTCAATACAGAACATGGCTCATTTCAACTTTGGGGGACTGATCTGAACGCTCTGAGCATACGGAGACATTTCAAGTATCATCTCTAGCTGTACAAACTGCTACCAGGGTCTCCATTTCTGGTGGTCTTTCTGGCACATGCTACCTGCTGGAGATGCAGGTGTTTTGCTTGGGCTGCTGTGGGGTGTGGCAGTCCCAGCAAGGCTATTTCCCATTAGGTAACGAGGAACACAACAGCTCCCAAGAAACACAGCCCTTGCCCTTCCGCACCGGCTTAGCATTTGGACAACAGAGAAATGAAGGAGCCTGTGCCCTGAAGTTCCATTAAAGACAGGTCCTCTAGGAACGTGAACCGTGCCATAGATCATTTCTTGTGTCAGTCATTACATGGGTGGTAACAGGACATAGCTAAAATGGAGGACTTACCTATGTATCACCACCCAACCTGCTCTTTTGAGCAACAGCTTATTCTTAAGCAATACTGGTTAAGCAGCAAAGCGAGGCTAAAATTGAGCTGTACCTCTCGCACGCTCAGAGGCTTCTGCATCCCTTTACGTGAAGAGACTAGGAGGTAAGGTACAGCCAGCCGCCCCTTTCCAACCTCCCATGGAGAGCAGGGAGATGTACCACCCCAACAGCCACAAACCTGCCCAATGGACAGCCATACGATTGAAGACAAGGTTTGCTCCTTACGGGTGCATACAGAATATGTCGCACAGTAAAAAGAAAACGGCAAAATTAAACACATGCAATGCTTCAGGTCTTTATTGTTGCTGTAGAGTAACTGGTACATGGTTAAAACATTCTAATATACTCAGTGATCTCTGAAAACTAAGGCTTTCTGTAGGTTTGTAGTATCCTGGTGTTTCCTTTCACACCGTGTACATATAAAATCAAGTTATAAAAACACGATCTTTTTTAAACACCACAGATTGATGCAATGCACAAAACTAGGAACTACATTTTGTATGATCAAGACAACACCTTACAGACCAGCTTCGGGCCTTGCAACTTTGAAGCCAAGAGAGAAATGTTTTGGTCTGACATCCTGCTACCTAGATGAGCTTGATGACAAACACAGATGGCAGGGCTTCAACCTTCTGTTCTGAGCAGAAAGAAAGAAACCCCTGATGTTGATGAGGAAACATTTGATTGAGCAAATGAAAGCAATATCCTTAAAGCACATCATTAATCTCAAATAACATAAGCAAGACCTAGCAAGACCTGTAGGTCCCACGGACAGAGTAGTCGCTGCTCTGTCTACTGCGGCTGCTGGGACTACAAGAGAAGGTGAGCCATGACAAATGTGCTAATGAGCGAGACGAGTCTCGGTGCCAATATGTGTTCCATGAAAGAGGGGGTGTGTGACTCCTGGAGTACTAGCACCTTTAACCTAACAGCACTGACAACATTTCAAAGTGATTTACCCAGCATAGAATCATAGAATCATTTTGGTTGGAAAAGACCTTTAAGATCAAGTCCAACCGTAAACCTAAAACTGCCAAGTCCACCACTAAACCATGTCCTTAAGTGCCACCTCAGTCTACTCTGAATAGGGAAACACGGTAAGAACAAAACGGTCTCAAAAAAGCCTGTATATTAGAACCTTTTGAGTAAAAAGCTACATTTTGACCAAAGAGGAAAAAAAAGCATTCATAGAAAGATCTTCCCCCAGTTCCTTAACCACTTTTTAAACAAAGAAGCTTCTATATCCACAACCCTTTTTCTTTTTATTCAATTTTTTCTCCCCGTCTTGCATTTCTAATTGAGCTGGAAAATGATGCACATAATCTGAAAATTTACATCAGTCACAAAGCCAACACACCTCCCTGGGAGAGGAGGATTCTTCACTTACCACGTGCTGCCCTGCATCATGGAGCCAGGCACTGCAAACGTGACATTAGCAGCTGACAAGAAGATTATTCTTTCTCTTTGATCTGAATACATGAGAGAGAGGGATGAATTACAGATTTGCAGGATGTTTACCACATTACAGTAGGTTACGTGTTTGGCTCCAGCTGGGAGAAAACCCCTTGTAAGGGTCAATGATGGATTGCATTTGATTTCATTTTCAGAGCCCAACTCTAATCACACACAGACGTAAATCTTTCACCGCTCCATGACCAAGACTCACACGGATGTTTCTGATTGATACATTTGATGACACCACAAAGCTCTCTGAACGACTGAGAAAAGCGTAGCTGGTATTTACGTCACCAACATATATAACCGGTCCTCTGAAGTCATTCCTGAAGACTATGTTAAGGCTATTGGAGTAGGCTGGCCATGGTTACTCCTGGTATGAATGCACAGCCATGGCTCAGGACAGACTAGAAGAAGCCTTTTAGGTCTCCTCTGCATTAACCATAAATGAGGTTTTTAGGTTTTCCCTGGCAGCGAGTTACCTGGATGTGCAGGGAACTGCACCAAAGCAGAGTATTAGGCGAACTAAAACCAGGCTATGTAGATGTTAAGCTGCAACCACGCCTTTGATGTCACGGAATTAAGTTTTAAAAAGTCCTCATAGTGCAGAAAGGACCTCCTTCCACTTGTGACAATGAAACACCAGTTGTCAGTCGTCAGGTACTCAAATATAAATATGAAAAAATCATTAAGAAACGTAACCCTAAATATAAACCTAGTTTTATTTATTTTTAAGAAAAAAGGGATTAAAAAAATTAGAGTAAAACAGATGGCTTCAAGTACTTTCCGCATAATAAACAATTAGTTATTATAAGCAAAGATTAAAAAATACTTGTCACCTTGCAAGGGACAGCTGAATAGAGGCTGGTGATTAGTTCAAAAAATGGCCTTTGATACAGACAGCATGTTTAGTGTTGTAATTTAGAAGAAGACAGATGTGTCTACCATGCCGACCCAATACTTGAGATATTCAGCATAGTACAAGATACATTTTGCACTCTGTACTTTCACATTTCATGGCAATGCCACTCAACATATGGAGCCAGGCCATCTCGGTTTAGCTCAAACAAGCCTTCATGCAATAAACAACAAATATTTAGTAAGTCAGGAAGGTTTTGCAGCAATACAGTTGATAAAGCGGTCTAACATTTTTGAGGCTGAAAAACAAACCTAACATGAAGTGTCTCTTAAGAGCCGGCAATGTTCATGTCTTTTACTATGCGAACATGAACATTACTTTTATTACACACAACAAAGAATACACTTGAAAGTGCCTTGTCTGAGTTTAAGCCTTCATATTTTCTGAAAGTCATGAAAATAAGGGAAAGTGTTATAGTGGGAGCCCCAAAAGAACCCCCAAAAAAATCACGAAGGAGGTTGGAAAAACAATGATGTCATCAGGCAATCAAAGAGATGCAAAGGGAAGATGTAGCTCAATTTCCCTGTGCTGTGATAAGTCCGAAACCCATCTCTTGTACCTATAAGGAGACAACCATTGCATCAGATGCATTTCAGCATGTCTGGCTGACACACATGGAACAAGCAGTCTTCCTGATTATGTAGATGGACACTTGAAATGCCTAAGGAAGCAATGTGAAAACCAAAATAAATGCTTTAAAAAAAAAAAAAAATCTTCCCTACTCTGAAAAATAAATAAAATGTTTTCAATCAAATAATGTCTACAAGGAGACCTTGTTGAAAAACATTTGCCAGCTACTCAGAGACACTTATTTTTACCTCTGTGAGGAAAAAACATGAATAAAACAACAAAAAACCAGCTCCCCTATCCCGCAGCTCTGTATACTACAGTAGGAACAAGACTCTCACAGCTAACAGGGAGACCAAATAACAGTATGAAACAGTGAGAAATCAAAACTTAGCTGCATAGGTCTATTAAATAATCAGTTAAGACTTAAATGGAGGCAGAGCCAGCACTGTTTTCTGTACTACAGCACAAGACTGCAATGCTTAGAAATCCTTCTGAGTGACCACGCCAGAATGGTTCAATAGTGGTAGGTTCAGTAGTGTTTGGAAAAGCTTATAGGAAAATATTATTTTAAAATAAGTTTGAACATTTGAAATAGAAAAAAGAAACAGAACAACTTCTTCTCCAACTTCCACCTACCATCAAAACATTGTTAAACTTACCAGCTTTCCAAATCTGGTGCTTACTTTACAACAATGTGATTATACAGAAATCATACATCTGTCTCTTAGCTGGACAGTTTGGGTTTCTACATGAAAGTTCAGTGCATGTCACATTTATTAACGTCCTTATGATTGTTCAATAATCCAGCAATTTGTTTCTTAATTACAGCAGAATGCAGTTGCCAGCTGCTTGCAAGAGCAATGTTGAAATTACATTCAGAGATAAAAACTATCATTTTCACGTATACCAATAACTAACATTTTTCTTTCTCTTCACAGAATCAAGTGCAAATGTCTAACAATGGCAATAGTAAAAGACAATTCTCATGCAAAAATTCTTCCCTGTGCATAAAATTTGCAGGACATCTGAAACCCACCTATTTTTACGTCTTTCTCTACCCCAGAACTAATTGTTTTTTATTTTCGTGTTGTGCAATTTCTGTTGCTTTCTAAAATATTGATGACAAGCGAGTTCAATTAGCTCCAGGCCACCAAATATCTTTTGCTGCACAACAAAAAAGATGATCATGGCTGCAAAATACCATCGTGCAAAGCTGTACAGGTACAGCAGCACAAGCATACCCAGTGGGAACACCGTCCAATACAGGAGCGAGATGCACTTAACCGTGAGGACCCTGAGCTCAGATTTACACGGTGGAATAATGCTTTGCCCTGTTGCACTGAAGCATTTTCCATCTTCATAGAAGTGTCGGAGTCTCTCCTCTTTCTCTTCCCAACGCTTCCGGCACCAAAGCTGCAGCTCCTCCTTGGAAGAGGGCACTGTCTCTATGGGATATCTCTGGACGTGGAAGTGGATCTCCTTTGGGAAGTTTCCATTCAAAAGGTGCTTCTCTGTTTGAGGAATGTTTTGGGGGTATGCCACAGTTATGTCATGGATAGCATCGAGATTGTCACCTAGAAGAAAGGTTTGGCGGAAGAAAGATCAATACAGATCATGCAATGGTCAGAACACTAATTCACTTCAAGGCGTGACTGAAAACTGTCCAAATTGTGGCAGAAATCCCAAAGATACTATGGGATAGCTATGCAGAGTATGTTTTATCTGCTACAATCATTAAAGGCTGAAAGGTCAAACTTCTCTCAATCATTATCTGTTCTGAATCCGAGCAAAAAACTTTGGGAACAAAATTATACACAGTACAAACTAACGCAGAATTATAACAGTGAGTAAGAGGATAAAGTCAAATTTAAAAAAGAGAAAATGCACATTTGGTCTTGAATAAAGAGCACAGTATGTGAGACTAATCTTCAGTTATTCGTACCTGTGCTGCAAGCCAAAATTGCTTTTAACTAACGAAATACACCCTCGTGTATGTTCCCGTCAACACTGAAAAAGATTCAGTTTGATCTGGAGCAAGCAGCATACACAATCCTAATTCACTGAAGATTGAGAAGACACATGTGAAACATACACCAGCTAAATACCAGGAGCTCATTAAATCTCTGGTATCTCACAAAGGATGAGTAGTATCTCTGTAGCTCAGCCAGCTTTCCAGAGCACTCCAGTTAACACAATTTCTTTAAATCCGACCAGCCAGTACTGTAAGGAGGAGAGCTGCTGCTTACTGCATTCCAGAGCTGGTAAAGAAAAAGTACAGCATAAATGGTAGGAAGCCTAGCTTTAAGTAAACCACGTACGGTTAGCTATTTGGGTAAAGTGAGTATAGCTAGCCACTTAAAAAGCAATTGCAGATTAGAAATTCAAGGGAATACTGATGAAAACCCCCTCTACTTTTCATTACCATGCTCGATCGAGCCAACGCTCTTGAAAGGATATCAGTATTGCCAAAGTGGGGTTTGCTAACGCATCTTTGTACTAAATGTTTTTGCACTTTTAAAATACCCTCTTTATACCCCAGCCTCTGACCAGACATTCTTTTTAGATTTCATAAAGTAAATTCTGCTAGTGTAAAACTGATCTAAAAATAGGCGCATGGTGCACTGGATGTTGCGTAACTGTTAAGTTCTGCCAGCAGTGATTTATCCCACTGTTTTTATTTGGCTGGCTGGCTCGGGGCAAAATAGAATTGGAGACTAAAAGCTGTCTCCAGTTGCAGCAATTGAAGACTTTTGCTCTCACAGATGATGTCACTTCTTGCAAACATGATCAAAACCTACTCTTTAGCCCTGCTCCCTCCTTTCATTTGCTCCCCTTCCCTGGCATTTTTGGCTTTCCTTTACAGCCCTAAAAATGACAAGGACAGAATAGAAAGTTACTTTAAAAGGCTATGTTCAAAAGGATGTATCTAAAGTGCAACTCCAAATATCACAAGAGGGGGAAAAACCCTATTCAGCCTTTGAAGAGTATTTTATAACTGTGCTGTCTTGTAATGATCTCTCTTGGACAGTTTTGTGGCAGGTTACTTGGACTTTTAAAGAGCTATATATGGCTCCTAGGAGGTCTATGAGAGCAAAACTCAATACTCCAGCTTTTGTCTAGCTACGGGGTCACATCCTAAGCAGAGAATCACTGTATTCTGCACAGGTAAAACCTTACAGATCATGTTGCAGGAGATGCCAAAATTGAATGTGTCTCAGAAACCCAGCCCTTACAAAGGGAAATGATGGCCAGCCTGCTGCACCTTAGCACAAAGCATTTTGAGAGCAGCTTGCATTTTTCCTCCCACTACTCCAAATATTTCTGCCATCAGAAAGAATTACAGTCAGCCTACAGGACAGACATCCCCTAGTTCCCAGCCTAACCAGGGGAAGGGCTGCTACATATATGTCTAAGAGAGATCCATCTCTTACAATCTGTCTTCCTCCTGATCCTCCATAGCTCTCCAGGTCCTAGTGGCACATAAAACCTACAGGCTTTACCTCAAGAGGGAGGCCAGAAAAGTTCAGCCTTCCTGGGGTCCTTGTATGAAAAAAGCTTTCTATGTAAAGAGTTTGGGGCTACATGAGTTTCTGACCCATCTTGCAGTCATTTGTGTCTTTGCAGCTAAACAGTCAGTCTGCCATTACATGCAGATGTTCTCGAAAAATCAAGGCTTTACACATAAGGATCACTGGCATACAGACCACCGGCGATAAATCATCAGATTTGCTTAAGACACAGATTTTCTGACTCTGTGCAAGTGGGACTGACAGGACTGGGCAGGACTCCCTGCACACATGCAGCTGGTCTGATCTCTTCAGCATGCAGACAGATTTCTGCCCACAAATTCCTGTTCAGAAACAGGGAAGCCTCTACTCCTTACCTATGGATTTGTAGCACCCCCAGACAGAGAACTTCCAGCAGGGCTTCACGCCAGACTGTAGAAGATCTACACTACATTACAGCTTCTAAATTAGTTACTCAGAACAAAGCTCAAAGAGCTGCATACAGGAGGGTGCACACATTACTCTTTCTGCATTACAAACAGGGACACCAAGGCAAAGGATGATTACGTGTCTGCTCAGTGTGTCCACCTTGAACCAGTATCTCCTAATTCCCAGCTGCAAGCTTCACCTGTTAAAGTATATTTTAAACAAGAAGTAGTGAAACTTCAAAGGTAGATTTAGCATATCTGAAAGCACAGAAACATCAGAAAGAGAGAAGACCAGAATACCAGGTTTCACATGCAAGAGGATTAGAGCCTTTCTCAAGAGTCCCCTTGTTTGGGTCATACATATTTAAAAACTCCACACAAATGGCAGCCCAAAGCTTTCGTTGCCTGGCAAGGCAAGTATGTGGAAAAGACCAGCTCCCATCAGTTTTCTACAGTTGTTGAAAGAAGCATACCCTGCTAGTATTACGTGCAGTAAAGTGGATCCACACTGCACACTTGAACAAAAAGGTTCTGCATATTCTCTGCTGATTTATCAACGACAGCTTTTAATATGGACAGGGTCAATGCATCACTGCCAGACATGCTACAAGCAAATCTGCTAAAAAGAAGAAAAGTTACTGCAGCAGATGAAGGTAGACCATTCTTGAGCAGGGACAAAATTCCCTTAGGCTAGGTTTAATCACGCAGTTTTGAACCTGCATCCGTGGCTAGAGCATCTTTATTGTCTCTGTTCCCCTCTGAAGTTAAGCTCATTCTCTCTGCAGTCTGGAGATACCTAACAGCACATGTTTCAGACAAAAGCAAGGTGCCAGTCAACCAGCAAACGAAAGTGTTCCTAAGTAAAGATGCAGGGCAGTCACTGATTTTAAAGATCTTTATCCACCTGAACTTAAAGATCTGCTTAAAAAAACTGCTTCTGCACATTTAAGAAGAAATTACCCTGAGGGAAGCCACATCATTCTACTTCTCTAATGGGTCAAAAACGAAGTAGGCAAGCATATTTGTTCATAGCTCAGAGAAGCTGTCAGTGGACAAACCACTTTTTGCAATGTTTTTAGTGACATCTGAGGGATCTTCTTTATCCTGCATGTATCCACATCCCAGTGGGAGAAGGAATGAAGGACAGAGAAAAATCATATAAAGTTTGCTGGTTTGCATCTGAACTCTAATTAAGCTAAGAAACTGCCATTAAGGCTAAAATGTCAGGTGGGTAGCCCAGCTCTTCAGGACAAAGAGACACCAGTTTCAGTAGCTTTACAGTCTCATGACTTTCTTCCTGCAGTAGTAGAACTATATATCCTTCATACCCATGAGCAATATTCTGTCCTGTGCTTTACAAAAGCACCTCAGAAAAGGAAAGCTTACTACAGTGCTCAGGAGTGAAGATAAAGTTTATTTGCAATTGTTGTTAAGCGGCTATAAACTGCATAACATGCAGATGATGATTAATCCATGTGGCGGTCTCCATTTCAGGATGACAAAATGCCTCAAAAGCACTATTCTTTTTCTTTTTAAACTTTCTGCGCTCCAGTCAAAGTTGTTTATATTTCAGGCTCTGTTGATACACGACATTACTTCAAGCGATTACAATGCACAGCTGGTTGCTTTGAGCATTGCGCTCAGAGGTGGCAGAGGAAGAACTTGCCAGGCTCATGACCAAAATAACAATATTAGAGAAAGATGCCTTCTTTTAAAAAACATTTCAAAGGAAAACCAAGGACATTTTCTTCCACTATACCAGCTGTTCCATCAGAATTTTTATTCTACTTTAGCAGTTGCAGCATCAGGTAGCCCAGTAGAGGTGAGGTTGCTGCAACTCCCTGCCCCAGCTAGGAGCAAGTCCGAGCACGTATTCCCAATACACACACACAGAAATACAGGCGTACAATGCACAGGCACAGACAGACAGACAGTCATGGATCAACATGGACAGAAAACACAGCACTCAAGCAAATAAAATGGCCTCAGTGTGTTCCCCTGCTCTGGTTAATCGATAAAGGTCTGTCAGTGGGAATTATATACAGGCTACGCATCCCTCCAGCAACTGGCCCAGCGTCCTTGGTCCTCCCAGGTGCTGGCACATGGACACACGAGCCCCTGCGGCCACAGCCCCTCTCCAGTGGCTGGTACAGACCCCTTGCACGCACTGTCGATCCCTGCATAGACACTCAGGGCCACCCAGTAGCTAGTCTTCAGATCCTCTCTTCTCCAGCTGCCTCGTGCAGAGACAAACAAACATACAAACTGGTCTCGGTTGAGCCCAGACCCCACAGTTTCCTCAGCTGCTGGCTTGGACCTTGCAGTCCCTCCAGTAGCCAAACTGTGACCTCTCCAGTATCTGACCAAGACTTATGGCCACTTTGATACTTGGCTCCCAAGCCTCTTACCCTACTCGCCTGCTAGTCCTGCTAGATAGTCACTAGTGATCACACGCTGACATATGCACCCACACGACAGACACGGACCCTGGTCCCTCCAGTTGCTGGCACTTGGACCTCCATGCGCATACCTACAGAGTCCCCTCACCCAGGAAAAATTAGAAATGGGGTTTAATGAGAAGATGGGACAGACTGGGCTGATCAGGCACAAGACAAGTGTACTGACCAGCCCCATTTACAT